AGGGCAGTTTCATCAACACCACATCTAGCTCAGAGAGTAGACCCAGCGGGTTTAGGATGTTGGCCTAATATCCACACCAGAGCCCGTGGAACTTGCGCGACATTTGCCAAACCAAGGCACTGACCTGTCTGTGTGGTCCATTAGCGGGAACTTCTGGTAACTCCAAAGGTCTTTGCTGCAGCAAGTGTCCTCACTCACCACTGGCCAGGCATGTCGTTGGGCCAGTGATTCACTGCCCTACCCCTCCTGGAAGGGAACTGCTGGCCTCTTCCTTTAGATGTTGACATCAGGCAGCCCTAGTTTGCAATGAAAAGTCCTGACTCTGTTAAAGCATTCCCTTGGTTTAACTGGGCATAGAACCTCAGAAAATACCAGTTTCTTCTAGGTTCTTCTTTCTGAGTTGAATTATGATGCAGGGAAAGGAGAAAAAAAGACCTCTACTTAGGCTAGTGTCCTAAATCTCTGTTTGAATCTCAGCATTTGACTCTAACTGATGGACACATCATCACTCTCTCCCTGGGGCCTTGTTCTGGGTTTGCTCCCAGCAGTTGATGGCCTTGGAGAGGCTGGCCCAAGCACATTCCCTTCCTTTTAGAGGCTCCCTTGGGCCCTGTGAGTAATCTCCCTGGAGTTCTGTCTTTGCATCTTAAATAAGATCCTAGGCAGAATGGGAAATAGTCCCAGTCACTGAATGCTCAAAGGTTCCAAGCATCATCCTGGTCTTCACTTTCTTTCAACACCTCCATGGGGCAGAAGTTACCAACTCAGATTCTTGCACTACACCTCTTGACCTGCAGGTGGCACAGAACCACCCTTGTTTCACTGGCAGAGAAAGGAGCTTCATTCAGTTCCCCACTAGAAGGCTGCACTTAGCTTCTGGTCCCTGGAGGTGGCAGGAATAGGCCCTCCTGCATAGTCCCTATGTGTTCACCTGAGTCCAGCAGCTGGTCAGCTATGTGAAGGAATTCCAGTCATGGGAAATTGACCTTGCAGCTCAATAGTGAAGTGAGAACTGTGTTCTCATATCAAAGTCCACTGCTTTTTTCTTTCTGTTCTCAGGCTGTAGCAAACTCCACCTCATCTTTTCACATTTAATTTATATTTAAAAAAACTCATTGTAGCAGGTCAGCAGGTGGCATGGAGCTCAGTTCAGGCAGCTGGATCCCACCAGTTCTAGTCCTGGACCTGGTGGCTTGAAACACACACATGTGTATATGCATGCCAAAAATCGTGAGAGGAGAATGGAGGGGAAGGGATTGCAGAGTGACTATCCCCACCTGGGGAATGATTTCTCACTTACCCTTTCTCTCTTTAGCAACTACATGTACCTTGTAAGTAAAAAACTGCAGGGGGTGAGTACTCCTTGTAGCAGAATATTAGTGATGTTTGAACTGTAGCCTGGAGCTTTTCCTCAGTGGGACTCTGGGAGATTTTCCTTGGAGACTCATCTGTTCCCCATGGGAAGGTGGTAGCACTGACAAGCACATCTGCACAGTGGAAATGGCTGCGGAGCAGCGGGTGCTGCTGGGCTGGTCCAGCTCATGGCTGGTCTCCACGTGCCAGTTGGGGGCATCACCCTCTTTGATTCTCTCTCCCACCAAAAAAGTCAGGGAAGCCCTTCCACCTGCCGTCAGCAATTGGCAGCATTGCACTTGGCATGTGGCCTTTTTTCTACCAGGACTCCTTTTAGGAACTGAATGAAGCACAGCCAGAATGGCTTATTTTTAGAAAAAGCTAACTCAAGCATTCAGATGCCATCTAGGCACTGAAGAGAGTCTTTAGGAACAGTGTCTATAAGGTTGCTGTTCCAACTCGACTCTCGTTGTTGTTAAACTTGTGGGCATACAGAGGCTCAGGGCCCTCGCTCAGTGTCAGGTCCTCTTGGCACCTTCACCTTCCATCAGCAGCCCACCTGGAGCAGAAGTTAGAGATACTCATGTTCAGATCAGCCTAACGACAGTTTCATCAGCAGTATTCATCAGTTAAGTGATCACAGTGTCGTTCTTTGAATTAGCAGCAAGTCTTCCTGTTAGTGTGGGCATGTGGGGGAGATCCAGCTGGAAACATAACCAACATGGTTTTGTACTTCCAGGGGCACCTGTCATTGGCACATGTGCTCCAGCCCAAGGACACCTGCTCTATAGCTCTGCACATCCATTCCCCCCCCCCAAATTCCTGTAACAGACTCAATACAAATACAGCAATGAAATCCCTAGAGTGCTGTATCTCAGCCCTGTGATAGTCATGGGCTCTGTTAGCTACTTGTCTAGTTAGCTACTTGTCCCTGTCCCTACTTAAGCACTAAGAAGACAAGAATTGGTCCTATTGGTGCCTGGTTCTTCTTCCAGTCTCAGCTTTTAGGGAGTGCAAAACTGCCCACCAGCTAAAGCACATAACAAGTTTTAAAAGCACTAGTTATTTTGCAAGGATAAGAATCTGACAAAGAAATTGGAATTACAGTCTAGAGTAATTTGAACTGAGCCTATGTTCGTTCAGCACAGCGCTCTTTTAAATTTAATGCAGAGTACTCAAGGGAAAATTTCCCTATTGGTATTACAGGTTGAGCTTCCCTAATCTGAAAACCCCTCAATGCTCCAAAGTCTAAACTATGTTAGTTGAGCACTGACATAACACCACAAATGGAAAATTCCATACCTCACTTCATGTGACCAGTTACAATCAAAATGCTGCAATGCAAAAATACTGTATAAAATTAAATTCAAGTATAGAAAGTGTATATGAAACATACATGAGTTTTATGTTGAGACTTGGGTCTCTCTTCCCAAGATATCTCATTATGTAATACAAATATTCCAAAGCAAAACAAAAATTGAAGCCCACATCACTCGGGTCCCGAGAATTTAGGATAAGGATAACTCACTCTGTGTTAAATGTGGGTGGATCCACACACTCTCTCTTTTCCCAAAGGTCTGTGACTGCTGGTCTCAAGCTTATGGTCCCCAAGCCATCATGCTTACACTCTTGACCAAGTTCCATGGAAACAAGTTTAAGGAATCCCATGACTGTCTGCAGGTGGCTAGAAGATACATGTATTTCATTCAGTGACAAACGTTTATTGAGTGCCAGCTGTGTGGGAGCCACGGCTGGGGCTGATAACCCTGTGATGGTATATGCCCAGCTCATGATTCCTGCTCTTCTGGAATCTGCAGTCTGGAAGGAAGACACTCCCAGATGGAATAACTGCACAAGTAACTGTAGAAAGAGAGACTGGGAGGATCCCTACAAAAAAAAGACATTGGGTGTATGGAAGCCCCTAAACAGAGAACCATCTAGTCCAGAGATTAACCTGAGTTTCCTAAAGATATAACACTTAGCTCTGGGTCAGGACTAAGTAGACAGAAAGTACCTGTGACTGGAACAAGTGACCCACACACTAGATGGCTTAAAACAAGTTGCTAACTCTTCCCACAGTCCTGGGTGGCAGAAGTCTTGGGTGCTTGTCAACGTGCAACTCCAAAGCAGTTTGTTCTAGCCTCTTCTTGTTTCTGGATCTTCATTCCTGGCATGCCTTAGTGGCTGGCGCATTCTTTGACATGCAGCATCTTGGCTGCAGTGTCTGGGGCCTTTTGCCTCTGCCATTCTCCCTCTGCTTCCTCTTATAAGGATACCTGTGATGGCACTTAGGGTCCACCTGGTAATCCAAGGTAATCTCTAGAAATCCTTAATCACCACATAAAGAAACATTCACAGATTCCAAGGATTAGAACCACTTTCCAGGGACCAGCAGTTAGCGTAATGGCTATGTCACTGAACTCCCATGTAGTCGGCTGTGGTTCGCGTCCCGGACCCGGTGGCTTAAAACTCAAGACGGGCGCGTGTGCATGTGTGCCCAAGAGCCCAAGAGGAGAATGGAGGAGAAGGGATTGCGGCGTGGCCATCTCCCATGGGGGGTGATTTCTCGCTTTCTGTCTCTCTGTCTCTCTCTGTCTGGTGAGCGCACACGCCCTATAACGAAAAACCTCTCCAAAACAATAAAAGAATATTCCTTCTGAGCAGAGAAACCAGCGAATGTGAATGCCCTGGGTAAGGATGGGCGTGGGACATCCTGGGACCCAGACATCAGCTGGAGCCAGGGACAAGGACTGACAGGGTGAGGATTCCATATAAAGACTGATGTGCATTTAAAGAAGAAACAATAGTGAAAGGTTTTGAGCATGGCAAGAACACTATTGGGTTTTTGTCTGTTACAGATGGATTAGTTTTGTGTGCACAGGTTGGAGAGGGGGGTTCAGGAGTGGGTGCTCAGGGCAGGGTAGAGGGTTTAGCAGTCTTGGATGGTGCCATTGGTGGAAAGGAGGAAGATAGATTTTTGTTCTTCACCCGCTGAGTATGGGTCTTCATGGAGGGTGGATGAGAGAACACTTGGTTACAAGATCTGATGCCTGTGTGTCCAGAAAACTTCTCTGGATGTCTTTGTCTATGAAGCCACTAACTGAGTAGAAGTACTTAAATATGATGTAATGTTCATGGATAGACTGAAGTTGCCCAATATCCTTAATCACAGGGAGATTTTCAGGAGGAAAAATAACACAGTGATTTCCACCAACTAATCGCGATAACTGACACTCTCATGAGACCCAAATTCATAGTGGTTAAGTGTCAACATCTTGTGAGAACTACTTTAGCAGGGATACATTCAAAAGGCAGAAGACAGTGGGATAGCTTGAGGTGCCATCCTTCCTATCACCTTTTAGGATGCCCATGAGAGGGGAGCAGGTAGGCCCTGCCATGGGCAACTGTGGTTACCATTGGGCGGGATTGTAACTCAGGAACTGATTGACCTTAGTGCTTGTTCAGACACAGTGACCTGGCAGCTCTGCACAATGACCAGCTCTGGGTCCAGCGCTCACAGCTGCATGCTCAGGCTTGGTGGAGGGGCTCGATGTAGCTTGTGGGGCCAAGCGGGGCTATTAGCTATTGCATGTTCCAGCACTAGCCAAGGTCTTGGGTTGGAATGATTCATCTTCTTATCTGACCAGACGTGTGACCGCATCAAGCAGTCGGCCAGTGGG